CCCACTGCCTCATGCTGCATGGGGGGCTCTGCCACAAGCCCCCTGACCCCCCACTCCTGTAGCCCCCCCCAGCTGCCCCATCCGCCCCAGCTCTTGCCCTTTAAGAGAAACCCCTCCCCCCTAAAACCCCAAACTCATCAGCTCATACAGCAGCCTTGGGGCTTTGGGGAGCCCCCCACACATTGTGGGGCAGTGGGAATTGCCCCCTTCCAGGAAGGAAAACCTTTTTCCTGTCTTCCGCTTCTTCATTCAAATTACATTATTGTTGTTTTCTTTTCTGTCAATATTTATGCATGTTGTAGTCTTTTTCTTTTGTTATTATTGGGTCTGCCTTTCAGTCCAATGGCTTCTTATTATTCCTTTTCTTCTTTTCCTGTCTTATATGTTCTTCCTGTCACTTTCTGCATAACTTTCGTCAATATCTATTCCTCCTTCTTGCCAATAATACACCATTTGTTCCCTGTAGCCATGCACAAGATCAAGCTTGTATCCTACAGATTCCCTTTCATAATCATGTAGACAGAGGTAGTTATTTGCACTTTGATATCATTCTATACTTACTTAGGGCCTTGTTGCACAGGGAACTTAGGATGTTTTATTTAGCTCATAGTAAGAATTACCATAAGTTAGAATACTTTCTGAGCAATCACACTGTAATGCTTACTAAGATCGCTCAAGCTGGGTCTCTGCCACTGGCAATGTGCATGGAGAGGCATAAGGAGCTGAGCCCAGGAGGGGGTGCTATCCCTGTCACTGGATCCCATGAATGCCTCAGGATTGGAGTCAAATGAAGACTCTGGTGTGGTCCCTAGACTGCATCAGTTTCCAACTGGCTCTGGTGGGTGCTGAGGCTGAGATTGAAAATCAGCTGATTGCTGGTCCCAGCTCTGCACTGCACCAGAATTTTGAGCTGGCCCTGGTGCAGGAGCTAAGATGAACAATGGGTCCTAGGCCCTGCACTGCACTGGAGCTGATTCTCAGTCCCAAGGCCTGCAGATTCAAGACTCCAGTGCTGTGTCAGGGTTAGGACAGACAGTCATCTGACTTTCAGTCCCAGCTCCTGCAGAAGAGTCATTTCAAGACTGGTGCTTTGTTGGTCCGAGCCCTGAGATTGCACCCGAGTTTCCAGCCAGCTTCATTGAGGTCTTGTGGTTGGGACTAAAAATCAATTGACTGTTAGTCTCTGCCCTGGGACTGCAGTGGAGCTGGTACCATGCCAGACATGGGCAGTAAGATTTGGGGTCTCTTGGGGATTGAGGCAGAGACCAGAGTCAGGCTGAGTGAGTAGAGTCAGAGGATGAAGAGGGTCACAAAGCAGGGTTTCAATCTAAGAGTGAGATCTAGGTGCAAGCTGCATCAGGAAACTTAGAGATCAAACAGAGAGAGAAGCCCAGGAGAAAGTGAGAGGAACCAGCAAAGTGAACTTGGGTCAGAATGCATTCTGGTGCCCACTTTCTTCTGCAGTTCAAAGGTTTATATGAAGGAAGCAGTGTCATCTGCCCCTGAATGACCATTCTGGTGACAGGGAGTTGTGGAGGGTTAGGCTTTAAGTTGGCCTTGACTAGCCTGGTTGTCTAGCTATTATTGGTTGGCAGGCTGGGATGAGCAACTGTGCAGCCAGGCTGAGGCCCCAGGTTTGGCCTGACAGCTGATTAAAATCCAGTGTCCAGCCTGGGACTGATAATCAGCTGATTGTTGGCCCCAGCCCCTGCACTGGAGCTGCTTCAAGACCCGATGTAGCATGGGGCTGTAACCACACCAGAGTCTTCAACCAGAGCAAGTTCCAGACTCCCTTTCAGTCTGACAGATTGTAGGTCCTAGCCCCAGGACCACAATGAATTGTGTTACCTCACAGAGAAGTCTGATGTTGGGTCAGCAAGTGCTACATAATACCATCTGGAGATACTTCTTTCTGGAAAAGGCTGAACTTTGCTACAATAAGAGCTCCCTTGGTACATATTATCCTGCTTGAACACAGGATGCTTGGGTTTTAAGTGCATGTTACATGTGCTGTCTTGGGTGACATAGGTCTATAGAGCATCTGGAATGAGCTTATCCCTTCCCTATTTCATTCCCCTCCAATTAAGAAGCAACAAAATTTTCCCTGCCCTGCCCCCCTGCAAAAGTTTTCATGAGATTGAGAGAAGGAGCTTTGATTCTGCTACTTCCACAAAGTATTTAAGCTGAATATCAACACTCCTGCTTTGCCTCAACACCCAATCCAAAGTCTGCTAATAGTTTTAATTTTTTATCTATTATTCCACACACGCTTGTGTATGTGTGAAATAATAGACAAAATGTGTGCATGCATGCATGCATGTACACACACACACCCTCTCTCTGTCTTCTCTCTTTCCCCCCAAATTGTGGCCTTCTGCAAACATCTGTCATGGAAACATTTCAGTCCAAACAGCGATATGCTCACAAAT